GCTCCGGCGATCCTTCCGCCTCAGCCTTCCAAGTAGCCGGGATTACAGGCATGTGCTACCACGCCCGGCTGATTTTTTGGTTTATTGTAGAGATGAGGTCTTGCCGCCCAGGCGGGTCTCAAACCCGCGGGCTCAGGCAATCCACTCACCTTGGCCTCCCAAAGTGCGGGATTACAGGCTGAGCCACCGAGACTGGCTCAATCCCTTTCTTATAAATGCTCAGGGTCTGCTTGAGTGAAGAAAACCATTTTTTTAAAGAGATAGGATCGTGCTCTATTGCCCAGGCTGTGGTGCAATGGCATGATCATGGCTCATCACAGCCTCAACTTTCTGGGCGCAAGTGATCCTCCTGCTTCGGCCTCTCAAGTAGTTGGGACTACAGGTGTGCACCGCCACACATGGCTAATTAAAATAATTTGCTTTTGTAGAGATGGGGTCTTGCTATATTGTCCAGGGTGGTCTCGAACTCCTGGTCTCAAGCTATCCTCCCACCTCAAACTCCTAAAGTGCTGGGATTACAGGTGTGAGCCACCACACCTAGCTAATTATTTGATTTATCGTAGAGAGGTGGTCTCGCTATGTTGCCCAGACTGGCCTCGAACTCTTGGCCTCATGCGTTCTTCCCACCTTAGCCTCCCAAAGTGCTGGGATCACAGGCAGGAGCCACCAGGCCTGGCGGCCATCTCAGGGCGGGAGCACTGATCTGGGCATCTGAAGTGGGCAGTGCCTGGTGAGGTTTCTGGCCCGTCTGGAAGAGAGAACCCTACACCGAGGTGTGGTGTAGTAGCAGAACTGTGTGTGTGTCTGTGTGACCTGAACACATGTTGTCCGCTTGTCGGAGGTGATGGCATCTTCCAGAGTCCCCAGGTTGGGGCACACCAGGAACCTTGGCTTTGAACCACCTTGAAGGGTGGTGTGGTCCAGGCCGGTGGAACAGCTGGACTCCAGGTGTCCCGAGTGAGTGGCTGTCAGCCTGGCTCTGCTGCCACGTGGCTGTGGGACCTGGGGCAGATGACCTGCCTCTCTGAGCCTCGACTCTCTCCTCTGGAGAAGGGGTCTGCTGGGAGACTCACATGCAAGAGGCCCGCTAAGCAACGAACGAGGCCTGTCATTGCTGTTATTGCCACCATCGACCTTATCCTTGGCCTTGTCTCACCTCCCAGATTGTCCCTGTCCCTTGCGACTCTGCTCAAGGAAAGTGTATTTTCCCTGGAGGGGTTTCCAACCCCCCATGCCCCCAACGTGGAAGAGTTTGTGCTGATGTTCACGAGGTCAGAACCCCCCCAGGATCTACCTCGATCCTTCATTGCTGCCGTTTTTGCGATTTCCTTTGTGGGTCTGCCGGAGAAAGGTTGTTGCAAATCCAGCAATTATTTGCAGGCTGTGCACAAAGCCAAGCCAGCTAGTCTGGACTTTCCAGTTGCTGGAGCGTTCTGTTTCTCTCTCTTCCTGTCCCTTACACAATATATAATATATATAATTTTTTATTTTTTACTTTTAGCTGTAGCCTCATTCTGGGGCCCCTGCGGCCCCGACCTGCTGGGCCCCGGCGATCCCTCCACCTCAGCCTTCCAAGCAGCTGGAACTACAGGCGCGCGCGACCCCGCCCGGCTGGTTTTTGATTTCCTGTAGCGATGCGGTCTCGCCACACTGCCCAGGCTGGCCTCGAACCCTGGGCTCAGGCAACCCTCTCGCCTCCGCCTCCCAAACTGCGGGGATTATAGGCTTGAACCACCGCGCCCGGCAATATACACAATACTTAAGACGGACTCCTTTGCGTTCTGAGGAGGGTTGCGGACCACTTAGTACTCAGCGGGACCGGAACGCAACGCAACGTCTTCCGGCCCCCTGGACAGTCGCGGCCCAGGCGGAGGTCGCGGTCTTGCAGCCCGCTTCCGGGTTTCCCCGAGGTCCTGATTGGCCCAAGCCGCCCCGGCCGTCCCAACCCTGGCCGGGGATTGGTTGAGCCGTGGCCGGCGCTGGCCAATGAGAGCGGAGAGGACGCCGCGGGTTAATTCCTTGCGCCCGGGCGCGCCGGGGCCGGGATGCGCGGCCTCGCGGGGTCCGCGTCTGGATGCCGGGCGGGGAAGCCGCAGCCATCTTGGCACCCGGGGACGCTGCCAATACCCGAGGAGAGCCGAAGCAGCGGCGGACAGGCAGTCCCACCGGGCATCCGGTGCCTTGTCTGCATCCCGGCCGGCAGAGGGCGGGGGGGCTTTGTGCCGCTGGCTGGGCAGCCTCCTGCTCAGCACGCTTTCGTACACATCACCCTTCACGCCATGCCTGTCATTGGTCCCTGAAAATCCTGCCCGTGGGGGCAGAGCGGGGAAATAGTTTTTTTCTATAAAAAACTTGGGGCAACCCCCTTGGGCTCCCTCCCGCTGTGGGAGTTTTTCTGTCCTCTCAATTAATCCTGCTTTTTTTTTGAGTTGGAGTCTCACCCGGTCGCCCAGACGGGAGCGCAGTGGCCGCCCCCGGCCCCCGCAGCCTCGACCTGCCGGCCTCCGGCGATCCTTCTGCCTCCGCCTTCCGAGGAGCCGGAACTCCAGGTGTGCGCGACCACACCCGGCTGATTTTGTGGTTTACTGTAGAGAGGAGGACTCGCCAAGGCCAGTCTCGAACCCGCGGGCTCAGGCCATCCACTCACCTCAGCCTCCCAAAGGCGCGGGATGACAGGCTGAGCCACCGAGCCCGGCTAGCACACATAAAGTTTACCATTTCAATGCTTTTAGCTATTATTTTTTTCTTTTTATATGGTGACAGGGTCTTGCTATGTTGCCCAGGCTGGTCTCAAACTCCCGGGCTCCAGTGGTCCTCCTGCCTCAGCCTCCCCAAATGTTGGGATTACAGGCATGAGCCACCACACCCAGCTGCCCAGGCTGGTCTTGAACTCCTGGCTCAAGCAATCCTCCCACCTTGGCCTCCCAAAGTGCTGGGATGACAGGCATGAGCCACCGCACCTGGCTCTAGCCTGTGATCTCCATCATACACTGCCCCCCCATCCTCTTATATGAATAAAGGTTTTTCCGTCTTATGCATACGCTTATACATTACCCCCAAATTCCAGACCCTCTCTCCATTCCTGGCTCTGTGGAATCCAAGGATTGGCCCCTGAAACAGGCCTACTGCTGGGGGGAACAGCAGCCTCTGAAAGTGGTCCCTCTATGAAGGACCATTTGTCAAAATGTATCCCCATGACAAGAGCATGTACTCTCTGGCCCAGCGATTCTGCCTCCAGGAGTGTGTCCTGCCCCCACACATCAACACCGAACACGGGTAAATGACAGCGCGCCGAGTCACTCACTATCACACCGAAACAGGAAAAGGTTGGAAGTGATACTGAAGCCTGTCCTTAGGAGCCTGGTTTAAAAAGCCCTGTCCAGCCCCCCCACTGAGTGCCATGGGAATAAAAGCGAGCGAGGGGGATGTCAACCTACGGTGTGGAAAAGAAAACATGTACCTGTTGTCTGTGCGTGAATCGCCTCACGGAAGACATCACCACAGTGCATCTTCATTGGAGCAGGGAAGCGGGATGGAGAGGCAGACAGACTCCCGGTCTCCCAAAGAGCCAAGTCCCAACCCTGTGTCAGGTTACTTGGCCAAAGGGACCCTGCAGACGTGATTGCAGATGTGGAGAGGGGAAGAGGATCCTGCATGTAATCATCTCAAGGGTCCTCACAAGAGGAGGTCAGAGGGTCAGAGGAGGAGGGTGACATGACGGGAGACCGAGAGCCAGGCAAGCCAGGTGGCTCCTAGGACCTGGAGAGGACACGGGGTCTCCCCTAGAGCCTCCAGAAAGTCACATGGCACCCTGATCTCAGCTCGGGATCTGACCTTCAGCACAGTGAGATCCTAATTTTGTGTTTTTCAGTAACTTTTCTTGGGTAGAGACGGGGTCTTGCTTTGTTCTCTAGGCTGGTCTCAAACTTCTGGGCTCAAGCAATCCTCCTGCTTCAGCCTCTCAAAGTGTTGGAATGACAGGCGTGAGCCACCACACCCGGCCCTGTGTTTTCCAAGCCACTAAGTATGTGGTGCTACAATTCACCTAATCTAAAATGAACCATTCAATGGATTTGGGGTATATAATTTTTTTAAATGGTGGTAAAATGGAGATAACATAAAATTTGCGTCTGTGCCATATTTATGTGTGCAACTGAGTGGCCATGATGACACTCACAATGTTGTGTAAAACCGACACCCATGTACAAGAGTGAGGTTGCCCCCCCTCCCACCTTACACCCCACAAAGATTAACTCAGAATGGATTCTTTTTTTTTTGAGTTGGAGTCTCACTCTGTCACCCAAACTGGAGTGCGGCAGCACACTCTTGGCCACTGCAGTCTCAACTTGCTGGGCTCAGGTGATCCTTCTGCCTCAGTCTTCCAAGTAGCTGGAACCACAGGTACGTGCTACCACACCCAGCTAGTTTTTAAAAAATTTATTATAAAGATGAGGTCTCACCAAGTTGCCCAGGCGGGTTTCGAACCCGCGGGCTCAAGCAATCCACTCACCTCAGCCTCCCAAAGCGCTGGGATTACAGGCTGAGCCACCGAGCCCAGCCATCAGAACGGATTCTTGATATCTTTTTATAACTTCTGCTTTGGGGACATTTATATATTATCTATTTTAAAAAGTTAGCTGGGACTATTGGTATGCACCTGTGGTCCCAGGTACTCGGGTGGCCGAAGCAGGAGGATCACCTGAGCCCAGGAGTTCAAGGTTGCAGTGAGTCATCACACCACTGCACTCCAGCTTGGGTGGCCAAGTGAAACCCTGTCTCTAAAAAACAATCAAACAAATACATAAACAGAGAGAGGAGAGAAGGGGCAGACTAGTGAGGGTGCTCAGGCCAGGGTCCTGGGGAAAAAAAAAAAGAGGCTGAGTGTGGTGCCTCACACTCGTAATCCCAGCATTTTGGGAGGCCAAGACAGGAAGGATTACTTGAGCCCAAGAGTTCGAGACCAGCCTGGGCAACATATTGAGACCTTGTCTCTACTAAAAAATCAGTAAGTTCATAAACAATAATAGAAAAGATGAGCTCTCCCCATGGCATCTGAGAGTGCCAGGGACTGGCACCCTTGTGGACTTCTTGATCCAGGGCCTGGTTTCCACGCCTCGTGGAAGTCCACATGGTGACAGTCTACAGGAAACTTGGCCTCTCCTTGATTCCTGCCATGCCTGGCCCTGTGTTTTTCAAGATACTAAGTATACGGTGCTATGGTGCACTTAATCTAAAAGGTACCATTTAATTTTTTTCAATGATAGTAAAATAGAGAGAACATTTGCCATTTGAGACATATTTATGAGCACACGTCTACTCGAGGTGTAATAAATAGACTTCAGTGAGGTTCGGGGGTGGAGGACAGACAGCGGCTTACATGACAGCAAAGAAACCAATCGACCCTTGTCTCCTCGCCTCTGTGGGGCCCCACTCGCCTGCCACCCCTAGAAACCCCGCCCCTGCCGTCCTGCTGGTTCTCATCCCTTCTTCATCCTTCTCCTCTTCACCCTCTTCTGTCTCTGTTTGGTAAAACTCCCAAATCTCACTTGTTTTCTCTCGCAGGACAGCTCCAGCTTCAACATCTCGTTTAGTATCCTGGTCCAAGGCAGTTTTCCCGTTTTCTCTGGAAGAGGAACTCTGGTTCTGAAGCACAGCTGTCAGTCGCATCCGGGCAGCTCGGCCTCCCGGGTCTTGGCCGCATCCATCTTTGTCCAAGGACAGCATGTCCCATGCGAGTGGCGGCTCCGCCGGCATTCCCTCCCGTTGTCTTGGAGACAGGATTCTGCTTTCCTTGCGAGTGACTTCCTGCCCATCCTGGCTCACTGGCTGAAGATGCTGGCAGATGGTGGCTGCAGCTGACAACGTTCCCCAAGTTCACTTCTTGCTTCTTGGACAGCCCTGGGCAGCTGCCTGGGGTCTGAGTTCCAGCCTCGGGCTCTCTCCTGGTGGCCAGTGTCAGTGTTTTGTTTTGTTTTGTCCAGCCTATTGCCCAGGCATGATCATGGCTACTGCAGCCTCAACCTCCTGGGCTCAGGTGATCCTCCCACCGCCTCAGCTTCCCAAGTAGCCGGAACTGCAAGTGTACACCACCATGCCCAGCTAATTTTTTGATTTTTTTTGTAGAGACAAGTTCTTGCTATTGCCCAGGCTGGTGGCTGTTTCTTGTAATCACAGAGATGTGACAGATACAGAGATTTGGAGGCTCAAACCCAGAGGCCAAGTTCCTCATGAAATTTTCTGGCCGTCCACCCGCTTCTGCATGGCAGTCAAGGCTTTGACTTTGCCCAGAGGGAAACCTGGTTCCTTTCCCCCAGCCGTGTCTATAGTCAATCCCCTGGTAAAAACCCTGGACACTGAGATCTCGAGTGAGCTGCCCTGGTGGGCGATACACTGCGTGGTCACATGTTGTTGCTGGGAGAATGAAGTGCTGTCTGCACAACTCCGTGGGGACGGGACAACTGGAAGCTGGTGCCTGGTCTCTCCTGAACCCCACCCCATGTCTCTTCCCTTGGATGGTCTTAATCTTTCACTGTAATTAATCGTAACCGAGACTCTAACAGCTTTCCTGAGTTATGAGTCCTTCCAGTGCACGATGGACCCTGAGGCTGGTCCTGGAGACGTGCACCTGCCCACCCCGTTGCAAAGTTTGGCATGGGGGAGGGATGCCAGTCTCTCTGGATGGGGTCTTCGTGCCCATCGGGGCCCTGAGATTCCAAGTCCTGCCTCCTCTACTGCATGAGAGTGACCCTTCCCTTAGTGGTGTCTGCACTCGCCGGCCAGGGACGGTGGGTGTGCTCTTTGAGGATTTTGTCATCATATTCACGGGGTTATTAAATACAAATAAATATTCATTTGGCCAGGGAGGCCTGTGTCCTTGCCACCTCCAGTCTCGCCACTCGGTCCTGGTGCTGTCACCTTGTATACTTGGCCTGAGGCTCCTGAGAAGTGTTGTCCTGGGTGTTCACCGTGGAATAGGAGACACACTAGAAAGAGGTATTCACATGTTAGTCTTGGCTATTTTTTTTAAGAGTTGGAGTCTCAGCTGGGCTCGGTGGCTCAGCCTGTCATCCCGCGCCTTTGGGAGGCTGAGGTGAG